AAACACTCCAAAAGTCCCCTATCTTGAGGTTATAATCCTCCATTCAATTCTTCCTCAAATTCATATATTTTTAGAGAAAACTATTTGTTTTCAAGAGAGTCTTCTTGTCATCCATAATGCTTAATCATTTTCTCATTTCTACTCTTGTGAGAGTATTTGTTGAGAGGTTGAAGAAGTTTGTTCTTCTTGTTGTACAAAACTTATGTGACTTAAGTCTTGGTTGTGAAGCCTTGTATAGGGCACATCTACGAGCGGTTGTATTGAGGCTTGTGGAATTCAAGTTCTCAGGTTATAACGGTTTGTTAAGAACCCGTAAGCTTAACGGAAGTAGTGGTAGCTTCAAGAGAGTCTCTCGAGAAACTGGTCGTAGCCACATGTTGTAGTGAACCAGTGTATATCGGTGTGTTGTTTGTTTCTCTCTTTTATTTTCGCTGCACTTTCGTTTATCTTATTTAATCCTGCAAAAATCATTAATCGTTCTCAACAACTCTATTCACCCTCCCCTCTAGAGTTGGACGAATTGTCTAACATTCATCGCATGTTCAAATAATGTTCAAGACTCATAAAGCTATGTTCATAGGGGTTAAAATATACCAATATGCATATGATGTCTATTTGAATTTAAAAGAAAACATCTATACTCTATTCACAATCCACCATTGATGTACCATCAATATTTAATCAACCGCTGTGGATTGAGAGACTCTTCATTACTCCTACATTAATTACGGGAGTATATTTATGGGAAGGAGCACAAACTTCATTACTCCTGCATTAATTACGGAGTATTTTTATGGGAAGAAGTCAAGAAGCACAAACCTCTCTAGCAAATATTCTACTTCGTCTTAAATTATTTGCAACATTTCGAACTACGTGTAAAATATCATCTCTTTTAAAATTATTTTATTTACAAAATGATAGAGAAATAAAAAATAAAAATTGTAACGTTAAAAAACATCAAAAGTTTTACAAAACAAAATGCGTTAAGAATATTTTATTTTATTAAATGATTAACCAAACCAGTAAATAAATAAAAGTTATCAAATAATCAAAATAGTAACTATGACATTTTTTTATGCGGAGGAGAATTTCCAAATTGAAAGTCAAACTGGGATCGCAGCGCATCCGGCTAGGGTTTCGACCCATGGGCGATGGTTGAATTCCAGCACACGGCTAAGGATGGCCACGTTGGTTCGAGGGTGATGGGTATGTTAACACAATTGCATATTATTTCCCCACAAAATACAATAAATGATCACTTAATTCAAATAATTTTCAGATGCACAAAAATATTTTAATTGTAGGTCAAACTTTTTCTTGTGTGCTAATGGAGAGATTATTAACCAATTGGAGTGGAGATGTTCATAATGTACTCTCAAAATTTCCCTTAATATGGTTGAAAAATATCATTAAAACACTATTTGATTAAAACATTAGGCACATTTATTACTCTGTCATTGCTTTTATAAAAGAGTAATTTACCAAAATAAGACTAAAACATAATAATTTTTTTAATATAGAACCACATGTTTTTATTTCCCAATCTAGGACCATTGGTCATTAATTCATTATCTATTAGTCATTATTCAACTAAATGTCCAACATCACATGAACATTATTCTTCTCACTAGACATTATTAAGTCCTATTTAGGGAATAAAAAAGTTTAAGTCCTACATTCGGAAAATGACTTATATTTTAGTCCTATTCAGTGCAAATTTTACTTTATAAAACCCCACATACCAAGGTTTAAGGAAATTTACTAAAGACCGTAGAGTCGCATTCCATGTATAATTTACCTTGCTGCTAAAATAAACACCAAAATTTCTCTCCCACAATCAATATCCATACTTTATTTAAAAAGAAAGGAAGTCAAGTTTTGGTTTTCCCGCCCTAGAGGATTGATACCTTACATGGTATGTTAGCACCAGCAATTGGTAATTTATCACACGGTGAGACTAAATTGGTAGATAAAACCTAAAAAAAGTTACTCCCTCCGTCCCAAATTATTTGTCACATTTGCTTTTTCAACAGTCGCGAGAACTTTTGTTTATTTCTACGTTTTCATTGGTTATTTGATAAAATAAAATATTCTTGACACCTCTTATTTCGAAGAACTTTTCATGTAGTTTTTTGATATGTACTTTTTATTTTTTATTTCTTTACCAATATGTAAATAAAATGAATTGAAAAAATTTGATATTTTGCCTCGGTAATAGAAATGTGACAAATAATTTGGGACGGAGGGAGTAAGTATTAAATGCACGTAAGAGATGGTGCGTGTGAAATACTTACCAATTTATTTATTATTCATGGGTATGATAAATACCTACCAGCATTAAATACTATCCATTTATATTAAAACTTAAAAAAGTTAAGTATTAAATTTTTGGTTATGCTGATTTGTTTTTTACCGTAAGTCTAAATACAAAAAAAATAAACATAAGAAATGGTACGTATTAAATACTGACCATTTTATTTATTATTCACGGGTATGCTAAATAATTACCAGGATTAAATACTTACAATTTGTTTCCATGACCGTACAACAATATTCAGAATTACATTATATTTAAATTTCATAAATGATATTTAATATGTTAAAAAAATACAAAAATAATGATAGACCATTAAATAAACATTTATTCGTGATTATTGAACGTAAAAAAAGAAGGAAAAAGACTAATTACTCTGACTTAGACTATGGTAATAAGCACAAAATTGGTAGTTGAGTCTTATGCGATTAATAAATCTATACTATATTTAAAAAGAGGAGAATTCCCCATTGCATTTTCCCGCCTAAACATTTCAATCATAAATGATAAGTGCTAAAACTCAAAATGGAAAGTCCAAAATGATAATACACCCGTGTGTGTATAAATTAATAGTTTAATATGTAAGTGCTATGTATAAGGTAATCTCATAATTATTTACTCTCTCACTTTTCTTTTATACTTATTACTCCCTGCGTCCCTAAATAAACTTCACCTTTCGTTTTTTCTCCCTAAATAAACTTCTCTTTTCTCTTAAAAAACTCCTTTTACCCCTTACTTTTTCATACACTACCTATCACATCATACCTTTTTACTAATAATCTACATATCAAATCTTACTTTTACACATCACATCAAGGGTATTTTTGGAAAGTCAACACAAAAATATCCCTCCCTTAAATCCTCAAAAAGTCAAAAAGGGAAGTTTATTTAGGGACGGAGGGAGTATTATACATCTGGTTGTACCCAATTTTGGGTACAACCAAAAAATTATTTATGGTATGGTACCGGGTAATAATAATAATAATAATAATAATAATAATAATAATAATAATAATAATAATAATAATAATAATAAACGTAATAGTTGCTATTGGTACCGTGTATAATAAAAAAGATAACATGTGAAACTTTAATTATTAATTATTAATTATTAATTATTAATTATTAATAAGGTAATTTCATACCTTATACTTGTTGGTACCATGTATAATAAAAAAGGTAACATATGAAAGAATAATAAGAATATGGTATCGTATAATAATAATAATAATAATAATAATAATAATAATAATAATAATAGTAATAAACGTAATAATAATAATAAAGGTAAGTTAATTTTGTGCTATTACCATATATAAAACAAATGAAAGTGTTGACTTAGTTTAAAAAATGTATTCTCATACCTTATATTTTTATACCAAAATTATAAATTATGAAATTAATTATTAATTATTAATAAGTTAATTTGATACCTTATATTTTTTGTTACCGTGTAATAAAAAAGGTAACATATGAAACTTTAATTATTAATTATTAATGTAATTTCATACCTTATAAATTTTGGTACCGTGTATAATAAAAAAAGTAACAAGTGAAGGAATAATAATAATATGGTAATAATATGGCACCCCACAATAAATGTAATAATAATAAAGGTAAGTTATAAAGAAACTGTATGTTGTACTTTCAAGAGTAACAAATCATAGTGGTTTAAAGATTCTGATATGCAATGAAGACAATGTTCTCACAAATTGTACGAATAATGTAGTTTATAAAAAAGTCTTTCGAAATTTGTAAGTAAAAAACTTTTGTACCTTAAAATAATAAAATCTCTATACTCTATTAGATACTCCCTCCGTTCTCAAAAACACTTCCTCTTTCATTTATTCCACTTCCAACAAAACACTTCCCTTTTCTATTAAAAACCACTTTTACCCTTACTTTTTTCATACCCTACCTATCACATCATACTTTTTCTCTAATAATCTATCCATCACATCTTACTTTTACCCATCACATCAGGGGCAAAATTGGAAATCAACTATAATTTAACACTTTCTTATTTTTGCCCCAAATCAAAATGGGAAGGGTTTTTCCAAACGGAGGGAGTATTATTTTCTATGATTCAAAAATAATCTTAATTTAGGAACGTAAATATGACCCGTGCAACGCACGGGTGTGATACTAGTTTTTTGAAAACAATGAAATCAATCTACAGAAAGTTTTTCCCAGAAATGAAAATTATTTGATGTACCCATAAAATTAATAGATGTTAATTTGATTAGAAAAAAAAGTGCTAGAGATTCCTTAGTAGCATGGCATCATACTGAAACTATACAATTCGGAACAAAACCCTCAATTGAAATAAACCCTTCAAGAATCAGTTTTCATTTTAAGCTCAGAGAGAGTTGAGAAAAACACTTTTGACAACAAACGGAACCAAGATCAACCTAAACTCAGTGTCTGATTCTAAACTGAAGGGGGAAAACTATGCCAAAGTTTTATACTATTCACATACCCTGATTTCATCACCCTCATTTGACCACTTTTCTATGGAAAAAGAGTGGCCTCGGATATCAAATTTTCATGATATGAATGGTATACTCCATACTAAAAAAATGATATTAACGGTTTAATCTGTACATGAACAAGATGTAAAATTTCTAATATTGCAACATTTTCCAGAATGAAGTAGCAATTACAAATACCAAAAATCGGGAAATACCATCGAGAGAAAGTGAATTGACAGGAGGGTTGATGATGGTGATGATTGCCACTCCATCACTTCCAATCTCTATGCTTGTTCTTCCCTTTGTACTCATCTTTCTCTACAAAGTATTTTTCCAAGAAAGTGTGATACTTCCAATTTCTCCTCGAGTTAAATTGCCTCTTTCCAAGGAAATTTATCAGCGAAGAAGAGTACCGGGTGGGGGGGGGGCTTTAATTGGTGGGTCACTCCTCTTCTTTATTGCAGTAGGTGTCCTCCGTGGACGTCAACGTGTGGAAGTAGAGTTGTCAAATCGGTCGGTCAGGTCGGATTCGGGTTCAGTCACTTCGAGTTTGGTTTATTTCGGGTTCAAATCAACTTGGGTTCGGGTTGAGAATTGTATGTTCATGACCCAATGTCATTGGATTCGGGTCAACCCAACGGGTTATGACTTTGATTTTTAAAATTTTTAAATTCACATTAACACTTACATTTTGTATTAAATAAATTTAAAATATCAAAATATATGCATTAAATCTATTAGATTGTTTTATTTTAAACTTTGAAGTATTTTTTCAGATATATAGATCAATATAAGGAATTTAAAAAATGCTTAAGTTTTAGAAAAAAGTAAGATAATTATGCAATATCATAAATTTTTGTTTGAAAATATAAATTTATACACTAAAAACAAGTAGTAAAGTGTATGATTTTGAAAAATTCTTACTTTAGCGGGTCGGTCAGGTCGGGTTTGACCCATTTTTAGCGGGTCATTTCGGGTTCGGTCAACTTGAGGTTCGGTCATCAAAACCTTTGTTCAAAACCCAGTGTTTTCAGGTCGGGTTTCGGGTCAAAAACTGGTCGGGTCATTTTATTGCCAGGTCTATGTGGGAAGGGTGCGTTTGGATCGAAACTCAAAATTTCCCGCTAAAAAAATTATAACAAAAAATAAAGAATCGTGCTAGAAATTCATCGATAGGTCTTCCGTAAATTATACCGTACATCCAGCTTTGCGGGAATAATCGTATAACCGAAATCAATTTTGCAAGTTGGGGAAGGTGATGGACTGCCCGCGCAGTGGGGGCGGCGACTTGACCCTAAGTAATGGAGGAAACGACGGCTGGCCTCTGCATCGGTGATGCTCCCGGGGCTACAGTTCATTATCCTTCCTCCCTTCCTTTGGATGGGTTCGATTTTACAATTCTACTCTCTCTAAATATTTGTTCAGGATGAATGGGCGAATCAGAGATGGTGAGGACGGCCTGACGATGGAGAGGCAGAACATTTCCATTATAATAGGGGTTGCAGATTCCAGAGGTACGTAGCACATGAATTGCTTCAGAATTAGGTGATATGAATGATACGTTGCTTCAGAATGAACATTGCGTTATTTGAGAATGAACTCTACATTATTTGAGAATGAACATGCAACACGTTTCAGAATGAACAATACTTATTCGTAAATAAATATTATAATTGTAATGAACAAATATATGAAAATGAATACTACGTGATTCAAAATGAACAACATGTTATTTCAAACTGAATATAATACTCTTTTACTTCAAAACGAGTATTGTCCGACTGTACCGTTCCATAGTTCCTATACAGTCGGTTATACAGTACACGCACCATATTAATTATGACATCAGATTTTTATGGTGTCTTGATAAAAAAAATCAATGATTCATAATACAACCCACATATTTGTTCTCGCCCCACCATCCTAATTAATCTCTCTTTCTAAAACGTTGAATTGATACAATAATTATTTTAGCAAATTGGCATTTTGGGAAGGTGAGGTGGAGGTATATTTCATCGAGAACAGATGTAAAATCATTTATATTTTGATCGAAAAACCATAGGAACTCAAAATTGGACAACCTTAAAATTAGTTGAAGTCATGATTCGGCATTGCCCTTGATATCATAAGTTTTAATTTTGTTTGGGCCTAATATACCATTAATAATATCTATACCTCATCGTTTTAGTGCCACATTTTATGTTATCTTTGATGTTCTTCGAAAATTCAAACATTTTTAGTAGTTTTTTAAGAGAAATGCTAGAACACAATAGTTCTTTTGACCTTGGAAATCAAGGTCATGTTATGACCCGGGGCATTTACAGTGCTCTGTTGGTAAAATTGATGGTTTCTATCCCCTAAATCAGTAAATTCTTTGGTGCCCCTCTTAAATAAGGTATTTTAAAACACTCCTTATGTGCACCAATAACTAATAGACATATGTACACATATGTCACATCTTTTAAGTATGATTAAATAAACTTTTTAAATTAGTAATTAGGCCCAAGGATATCTAAGCAAATTAAAAGTTAATCTTCATTTCTTCCTCTTCCGTGTTTCTGTCCACAAGTTCCCATGATTTCTTTTTCATTTAAGGATGCCATTTTTTTGTTTAGAAGATTAGATACTATCATACTAAGTTCAATCCTCTATTTTCATTTCTCTTGCTCAATTTGTATATTTTACTCAATTTATATAAACGGAGAAATTATATTGTAATAATACATATAACAATAATCATAATAATAATACTTTAGTTGTAATATTTTTCTAGTATGATCTAATCTAATTTTCTGAATAAATCGGATCTAATATACCTTTTATAGGAATAAGTTATAACTAATATGTAAAAAATGAGTTAAAGAGATCAGATCGGTTCTAATCAAATCAAATCAGATCAATGAGGAAAAGTATTAAAAAATGATGTTAATATTTTGTCTATGATCAAATAATTATTACAATACAATTAAATCATGTTAGATTATTTAACGTTGCATATAATTTAATATTTACAATTCCTTCCCTAAAAATTAATAATTTCTATTATAATATTATATGCAATTAAATAATAATAATAATGTTAGATAGAGTTTATTGCACTAATGCCCTCTATTATTTGGTAAAATGTGCAACGTGACCGCATGATTTCAAAACTTATGTCATTGCCCTACTAGTTCTAATATTACTAGACCAATGTTCTAGGATAAAATATCTTTGAAATATTAGGTGACCGCTTCCCCATAAGTTTTTGGAAATGGGCATCAACGCCCTCTCTCTTTTTCTTTATTGTTTCTACTATTTTTTCATAAGTGTTTTTTAGTTTCTTTTTAAAACTATTTTTATAATGTTTTAATAATCAAAACTTTATGTGTTTTCAATGAAAAAGTCAATTATATAAAAATAATTAACGTACATTTCATTCATGTCAAATCAAATATTTTCATTTTTTGTCCAAAAGAGGTCTTTATTGGTTCATTTTCATGATACAAAAATAAAAGAACATTCTCTTTTTACACTAAAGCTCGTTTCTCATTTTCTGATTTCTTTATTTCTTTATTTAATTTATACCATTTATCTTATTTTAATCAAAATTTAAAAAAAAGAAAAAAGAATAGAAAAGAAAATAAGGAGAAAGAAAGGTATATGGAAAAAACAATGAGGAAAAATTAGGTCACGAACAAAATCTCTTGCGCTCCGGTCCAAAATATATTATTGATATATGATTAACTATATATTAAAAGACCTTACTCAATACTCTTTTGGTCCCGACATATTCACAAAAAATAAAATAAAATAAGACAAAAATGGAAATATTTAATTTGACAAATGAAGTAAATGTTAAGTTTTCTATTTCATTTTTTATTTCAAACACAAACACTTTTTTTATTTTTTTTATTTTTTTAAATATAATTTTGAAAAAAAACTTTTCGTTATTTCAAACACAAACATTTTTCTTCTCTTTATTAATAAAGAAAAACAGACTATAAAGTGAAAACCTCATTGAAAATGAGAAAATCGATAAATAAATCCAAACGGACTTAGTCTGTTCTTCTTTAATTTCACTTTGCCATTGTCGCCATACTAGTTAAGTGAAAACCGAAAAGATAATGAAGTTTTTTCCATAGGAAATACTGTATCCGCAAGAAAATCAGGGAAATAAATGAAATATAGATAATGGAAATTTTAGGAAAAAATAGATTGAGATTGAAGGGTCCTTAGGGATGAGCTAGATCTTGAAGAAAAAGAAAAATTTGAAGAGATTCAGCTTTGTTTCTTTGATTTACTGCTTCAAATTTGTCTAGAAAATACAAAACTAGAATTGCTGTAGCAAGAAAATTAAAGATATGATTAAAGAACCGATGGGAACTTGCTGACAGAAACCGAGGAAGAAATGAAGATTGACTTTTATATTGCTTTGATAACTCTCGGCCTAATTACAATTTTAAAAAGTTAATTTATTCAAAAAAAAAAATAGTATGGTGTATATCTACATGTGTCTATTAGTTATTGGTACTTATAAGGAATTGTTTTAAAACACATACTCCCCCCGTCTACAAATAAACTTTCCGTTGCGCGTTAGAATATTTGACTGAACTTATTTTCAAATCATTTTATATGAAAAATGGTGTAAAATTTAAAAATAAAAATTACATATTAAAAAACTATATCAAAAGATCTACAAAACTAGAGGTGACATGACTATATTATTTTATCAAATGGGTGACAAAATTAGGCCAACAAAGTGAATAAAGTTTGACCCTGTGAATAGTGAACGAGAAGTTTATTTGTGGACGGAGGGAGTATTTAAGAGGTGCGCCTAAAGACTCGCCCCTAACCCCCCATGCCCCCTGCACCCCACCACAACACCTCCTTTCCCCCTGAATCGCTGATTTGGGCAATCCGAATCGGCAATTCAGGGCGGGGGCAGATGGGTGCATGAGTGGAGAGTTTAGAGGAGGTAAGAATTATCAATTTTACGAATGGAATACCGTAAGTGCCACAGTCCAGGTCATAATACGACCTTGAATTCACTGGTCTAAAGAACCTCACCAAAAATGTAAAGTATGTTGGGTTTGCGCAGGAGTAGAGGGTTTAGTGGATGTAGGACCATCAATTTTACCAACGAAGCACCGCAAGTACCATGGTCCCGGTCATAATACGACTTTGAATTCACTGATCCAAAGAACTTTACCAAAAATGTAAGGTAATAGTCCTAAATAACTAAAATAATAAAAACTTAAATACATAAACGATAAATTTATACATTTTGGAAGTGTTTTGTTTGTAACTAGCATTTCTCTTCCTATGAATGGGCTAAGTTAATATTAGACTTATCACTTATGTGATGAAAATATTCGAATGGGCGAGTAATATTTTTCAAAATTTTCACTTTGAAATATTGTAGAGTACTCCGTAACATAAGGGGAGGTCCCAAGTTCAAATTCTAGTAAGATAGTGAAATATACGGGATTATAATATACAGAGTAATTATTAGTATTAAAAATGAAAATTGCTTTGAACAAATAACAAATACTCCGTAATTTTATTAAGAAAAAAGAAAAACATACTCAAACTTTTTTATAAAGATATATATTTTTTATTTCTTATAATCTGGATCGTTTTGTTGCGGTGACTTCATACATTTATTTTATGATACAAAAGGTTATTATTAACACTCATACAACAGGAGGAAACATACAAATTACAACTAAACATAAAATATAATAGGAAAATGATAGGGTACCACCACATAGGTGTTACCATGGGTGTACCTATGATTCGCACAGATAAACACAGACGATAATTGTCTGTGTCACACAGACAATTATCGTCTGTGTTTGTCTGTGCGAAGCATGGGTGCACCCATGGTAGCACCCATGTGGTGGCACCCTAGCATTTTCGGACCTAATTGTGGTTAAAATTAACAGCCCACCCATCATTCTAGAAGGTCCTGTACAAATGAGTAATTCAAGACCTTGGGATAAAATAAAACAATTCAACGATAAAAATTTCTTTAATTTAACAGCGTTTATAGCACAAGATCCCATGTACTTTGGTAAATGTACACCGTTATCCTCTTATGATTTCAAATTTACATTGTTGCCTCTAATGATTCTGAAATTATTACGTCAATGTCCCTTTAGACTAAAATATCCTTCAAATATTACGTGAATAGTTCTGTTGCCCACTATGCTTTTGGAAATTGGCACAAACGCCCCTCTTTTCTTTATTGTATTTTTTCCTACTATTTTTAATAAATGTTTTTAATTTCTATTTTAAAATTGTTTTTTATAATGTTTTAATAACCAAATTCTTTTGTGTTTGCAAAAAAATAAATTAAATAACAAGAATTAACGTACATTTCATTTGTCTCAAATTAAACATTTTTATTTTTTTTTTATCCAAAAGAGGTCTCTATTAGTTCATTTTCATGATGCGAAAATCAATGAAACATTCTCTCTTTTTCACTAAAGCTCATTTCTCATTTTATGCTCATTAATTTTATACCGTTTCTTTTATTTTAATCAAACTTAAAATAAAAGAAAAAAGAATAGAAAAGAAAATAAAGAAAAAGAAAATTATATGAAAAAATACTTTTATAGATTAGGGAAAATTATGTCATGAAGGAAACTAATTAAGAATATATTAAAAAAGACGTTGCTCAGTATTCTTTTGGTTCTCACATATTCAAAAAGATAAAAACTTTTTTAGACAAAAAATGAAAATATTTAATTTGACAAGTGAAGTACATGTTAAATTTTTTATTTCAATTTTTATTTCAAACTTAAACATTTTTTTAAAAACTTTTTTTAAAAATATAGGTTTGAAAAACAACTTTTCATTATTTCACACAAACATTTTTTCTCTTTATGAAAAAATAAAACAAAAAGAAAAAACGTTAGAGAAAGAGAGGGGGTGTTGGCATTCATTTCCAAAATGAAAGGGGGCAGCGGAATTATTCACCAAATATTTGAAGGATATTTTTGTTCAGAGAAGCATTGACATAGCAATATTAGAACCATGAGGGGCAACGACGTAAGTTTTGAAAAACCATAAAAGGTAACAGTGCATATTTATCAAACGATAAGGAGTATTGGTAACAAATCAATTTTAACACGTTGGAGACCATGTGCAAGTGAACCTAATGCACTTTCTTATAGGCGGACCTAATAATTAATACGAAAGAAACAATTCACTTATTTAATAACATCTCTCCTTGATTGTTCATTTTCCAATTAATGGGGACATGAGGTTTGTGTGTGTGTGTGTGGGGGAGGGGGAAAAGAACATCATTTTTACAAACGAGGTATTGTAATGCTTTCGTCTCAATTTAAACTATTTGTTTCACTTTACGATATTGTGTAAAGTTATTTTCAATCATTCAATATAATGAAAACATGTACCATGAATACCTCTCTGCCCAACAAAAAAGTTTGATTTGATATAATGCATAGAAGAAAACTAATATGAGCTACAAAAGATTTTTCAAAAATAAGTTAAACAAATTTAAGATGAATAAAAAAATATGAAACGCTTTTGTAAGAAGAAATGAGAAGATCTATATGTGACAAATAAAAAGAGTTAATAGAAAGATTTATGAAAGACAAATAAAAAAGACTTTTATATATATATGTGTGTGTGTGTGTGTGTGTATAGACACAAACACACACATATATACTCCCTCCATTCAACAATAAAGTTCTCATTCACTATTCACAAAGTCAAACTTTATTCACTTTGTGTCTTTGTTGGCCTATATTTGTGTCCTATTTGATAAAATAATATAGTTATGGCAATTCTAATTTTGTAGATTTTTCATGTAGTTTTTAAAAATGTAATTTTTTTAATTCTATACTATTTTTCATATAAAATGATTTGAAAATAACTTTAGTCAAACTTTATATTGTAGCGAAAAAGACTAAAGTAGGAGTAAAACATTGAAAATATACCAAAACAGTACTTCCATTTTTCATTCTCAAAATAAGAGTTAAAATACATTTACATTACCAAACATGGTCATGTACATTACCAAAAAGTATAGTAATGTGCACGTGTACAGCGTTACATTACCTCCACATTACCACAGTAAAAACTCTTATTTCGGGAATAAAAATAAGGAAGTCCTATTTTGGTACTTTTTCTATGTTTTAGTCTTATTTAGATTGATTTGTAAATATTGTAACGCGCAATAGAAATTTTATTTATGAACGGAGGGTGTGTGTGTGTGTATGTCTCTCTCTCTCTCTCTGTGTGTGTGTGTGTGTGTATATATATATATATATATATATATTACAATAGAGTTGTTAGTGTTAAAAATCAAAATTACTTTGAACAAATAAGAAATGATTTTATTAAGAAATTAGACAAACATACTCAAAGTTCTTAATGAAGTTATACGGAGTATTTTTTTTATTTCGTTTAATCTGGATCGTTTCGTTGCGATGACTTTAAACATCTTTTTATGATAGAGAAGCTTATAATTAACACACATTCAAATGGAGGAACCGTACAAATTACAACTAAACATAAAATATAATAATAGAACCTAAATGTGGTTATAATTACTCTCTCCGTCCTAAAATGTTCTTTTCACTCACTTTTTACCCGGTCAAACTTTAATCACTTTCTTTACCTATTTTCATTAGGTATTTGATAAAATATTATAGTCTTGTCACCACTTATTTTGTAGAACTTTTGATGTAGTTTTTAAATATATAAATTTTATTTTTTAATTTTACACCTACAATCAAATAAATTGAATTGAAAATAAAGTCGGTCAAACCTCGTAAAATAAACCGGGAAGAACATTATAGGACGGAGGGAGTACGATATTTGAAGAAATTATTTTCCTTTAAATTTATGTGAAAATTGAGGTAAAATTAAAATACTTCAAAACAAGATGTGACACAACTATATTATTTTACTCCGTATTAAATAAATAATAAAAACAAGTAAAAAATGAATAAATTCTGGTCGGTAAATTGGTAACGTAGGAGTTTAATTTAAGATGGAAGGAGTAGTTCGTAGGTACCCGATGTTATATTAGAATATTAAGGTTCAATGTCAAAAGAACCTTAGGTGGTGTTTGGAAATTATCATATCATTTCATTTCTTGCATTTCAATTCTAAAATTTGAATTCTAGAATTTCAATTGAAAAAAGAGATATTTGAATTTGTAATCGAGCATTGTAATGAATTAGAGAAATTCGCCTCTTATCCAAATCTAAATTTTTATATTTTCCAAACATAGAATTTAACTCAAACTCGAGCTTGAAATCCCAATTCCGGTTTCCAAACATGCGGTTAATATTTTTGTTTAATACTTTTATTCTTATTTCAATAAGAGCATATCAAAACTAGAATAAACCTTGGATGTCCCTATGTTTAACCCACTACTCTTGCCACAAATTTTCACAAACATTCGATTCAATGAAAACATGTACCTCTATGTCCAACAAAAAAAATTGATATTTGACTTGGCATAGACACATAGTGAGTTAAGAGAAAAGAAATTATATAATTAAAATTGTTGCAGAGAAGAAAAATAGTATGAGCTACAAAAGCTTATTAAAAAATAAGTGAAACCAATTTTAAGTCGGATAAAAAAAATATGAAAACCTTCTATAAGACGAAAGAAGTATAAGTTTGAGGCCAGACGTTAGAGGTACCTTAGCAAAGTTCTCAAGACTATTCAACCTACATAAAACAACCTGAAAGAATCAGAACAGACCATACCTGACCAAGGCCAAAAAGATTCCTATCAAAACATAGACCAAATAAGAAAAGAGTCAAACCAGACCTTAAAAAAATGTAGATCTCACGTCAATATTAGAAGCAATAAGCTATTCGTTCTCGTAGTGGACTATATGAACGAAACACTTTTTTAGGGTAACGAAACACTTCTGTTGCTACCGGTTGATATATAAAATCAAGATTGTATAACAATGTTTTACATACAAAGGATAAACCTGCTTCTGGGAGTCCAAGTATAACATTTTTCTATCCCAAAGCCTGAGCAAATAACCAACCCAAACATAGCTTGTATATCCATTTGGAAGTAAAAACTCAGAGAGGCGAGATCTACGTGGACCACACTTCTATTCCTGTGAGTAGAGAGGCTAAAACCTGCAAATGGACGGATCATCAATGCTTTTCTAGCAGAAAAGTCGCCGGACTGATCTTTTTGGGACTTTCCCCTCCAGTTTCAATCTTCTATATGCTTCTCTTATGTGACATGGTCTAATTGGTCCTGAATCATTCCTCTCTGACATCACCATTCTAGCTGCAACAACAACAACGAACCCAGTGAAATCCTAAAAAACGTAGGGTATAATCATTCTAGCTGCATACACTAATAACCAACAAACATTGAAGAAGACTAACCCATTTCAGTAAGCTCACCAACAAACATTTTAGCAATACCAGACATCACAATGGTCATTGGCAAAGAAATTTTCTGACTTCCTGTTATGCTTACTAGTAACTGCATCATCCACACAGAAAAAGGAAAATTTGCACTGATATCATATGAGGTGCCATACAATGTAAAAAGGTAAACTATAATTGCTCAAACAAAAAGTATGCCAGGTCTGTCTGGTCTGGACCAACACAAGGAAGCATGTCATACCCGTTTCATGTTAGACTTTTGAAATCCAGATCTTCGAAAAGATTCATACCTACTCATTTGCTCTTCAGTAAATTGTGATAAAATGCTTCTGCATAAACATAAGAAAAAGAATGAAATATTTAATTAGATTCTTTTTTTAAAAAAAGTTTCACAAGCGCAAAAAGGGTCTTTCTGTGTACACACATGTAAAACTAAAGAGAATGGAGTTAACTAAGCCGAGTATCTTTCAATAACAACCTTTCTACCCCTGTACACAGGGATAGCATACACCCAACATCGCAAAAACCCACTTATGAGACCTTGCTGGGTTATTGTGGACTTGTGGTCCTATTCACGTGTTCACTTTTTGAAAGTTTGGTGGTCTTTTATCACTGTCCAATTAGTAATTTCAAGGAACATTACTACCTTTTCCATATTCTACCCATCAAAATAAAATATGGAGCCCAGTGAAAAACATGAAAAAAAGTAAAATACATTGAAGTAAATGTGTAGTGAGTTCATAGATAAGAATAAATTTTCGTAAAATGAGACAAGTCGTAATTCATTTAAAAAGTTAAATGCATTTTCTCCACACATGGTTTGGACAAAGTGGACACATAAATTGGACCAAATTGAAGGAATAAAATATAGTTCACTCCGGGCAATTCCGAGCAATTTTCTTCTTGTCTTGTGTTCCATAACATCTTTACACATCTGCCATATTGAGTTACCAAAGCTTTACTATAACTCACAACTCTCAGCATGCATCTTTACATGTTTTCATTTTCCTGCAACTCCTCTCCCCAATTAACCCTCATGGGTAACATAGTTGGAAGCAAATTGCATAAATTAAGAAGATGCTCAAAGATACAACTCTTGGAAACAACCTCTCTACTTTCGAGTAGGGGTAAGGTTTGCGTACACACACCCTCCCCAGACCCTACTTTTTGTGGGATTTTACTGGGTTTGTTGTTGTTTTGTTGTTGTTGTACTCAAAGATACAATCTTCTAGAGCATTAAAAAGCATGCATCCATAATTTTCAATAAAGATGCCAATTTAAATAACTGAGAAAAAAGGTGGCAATATTTAATGCCCTAGTGCCAAGATATCATCGATTCCTGTGAATTTAGCCCCATTGGTAGTACCATTAATGATATCACTCATCAACAAAACCATAAAAGTTATTAAAGTAATAATAACTTACTGCATCTTGGCCATTTTATCAGGGTCGCTACTAGATGAGAACTTTCCTAGCTGCATGTCCATGTTCTCTTCATCTTCTTCTTCATCATCTTCTTTGGGTTTGCTAGCAGTCCCAGTAGGAGCAGTTGCAGCATAAGAGGTTGAAGGGTTTTCAGAGTGATCAATGGAAACAAAATCATTCATTCCGTGATCACTCGGGGCAAGAGTAGCCACATTTTGGCTTTCGTCATCACCAGCTCCTGTAGGAGAATCAGGGGGTGATTCCTCTTGTTCCTCAAATGCAGCTTCAAAGGGATCCTTGGATTGCTTCATCAAATTATCTGTTGAATCAATTATTATCACAGAAGAGCTTATACACAGTTGCAGTAATTCCTACAGCTTAGAAAAAATATTCTCTACTCAATTGCAAGTGTTGCAGCAGAAGACCATGGTTACCAAGGCGACAAGTCGAGTCGAGTCGGTGAAGAGGAGACCAATGGACTAGTCAAATGCTAGTCGTAGACTAGTCGACAAATCACAAAAAGTATTGAAATTTTTAACATTATATATATATATATATATATATATATATCTTCCTTCACCAAAAAAACTATATATATTTATATGAAGAAACATCATTATTCATTACCAAAAAAATTATGTTTAAAGATAGCACATAAAGTCACATAACGAAGGGTACATAAGAAACAAATATCCTTCAATCTTTAAAAACAACACATCAAGTATCAACAAAGAAAACAAGCAGAAAAAGAAGATATTGCCCTACTCAAAGAGCAGCCCCTTGTGCGAAAATAGAGCCTCAAATGCCATTACCCTTAAGAAGACTAAGAGTAAATTCCATAAACGGTCCTTTACAACGAGGGGTTTTCCATATTTAGTCCTCTATTATCAAATATTACCTCCCTGGTCCTTTTATGGGTACCTTTCCACAAATAGTCCTTTTTTGACTATTGTCACGTTGGTATTAATTTGAGGGCTAAAAGTGTAATGTGACAACCCAATGTCCAGTGACATTCTGATGTCGGTTAGACGGACAACACAACAATAATGACTATGAGTCTATGACTCTAGACCAGGATTTAGATGAAAGACCACATTTATATAGACTATGGTGGTAGTAGAAAGCGACTTCCCAAACGACGCATCACGAGCGATCTCTAGAATTGTGTATGGCAAGAAAGATATATATATATATATATATATATATATAAAATCATTGTGAAATTACACTTTTAGCCTCAAATTAACGCCAACATGATAGAAGAAAAAAAGACTTTTTATGAAAAGATACCCATATAAGAAATACAGACGTAATATTTGATCATAGAGAACTAAATATGAAAAATCCTCTTTTATAAAGATGGTAGTCAAACTCGAGATCTGAATCGTACAATTGTACGATTCCGGAGATCGCTAGGGGGTTTGCAATCCAACTCGCCCTCAAAATCGCAAAAATCCTTCAAGTCGGAAGAATCGCCGATCTAGATCACAATCACAAGAAATCATCGATCTTAAAAAGAAAATAATCAGAAATTAGAAAAGCCTGATTTGTTGCTTTGATTTTGTCGATTTTGTCGCTTTGATTGTTTTGCGACTTTTACATAGACCAGAGATGTTAATGGCGACTGCGAGGGGCGGGCGAGAGGACCTTTTTATGGCGAGAGGCGGGCGGTAAAATGACAAACACACACACACACACACACACACACACACATATACATATATATACATACATATGTATATATATATATATATATATATATATATATATATATATATATAAGAATTTAATACCCCGTAATACACATAGTGAATAAGAATAAGACTAAAAAAGAAAAATAAGAAGTCAGATGTGAAGAGTCAAGTGAGTCAACTAGTCGAGCAAACAAGAGATTAAAAAAAATGCCATAATAATTACTCCGTATAATAATCAGCATCATTACACATTATATGGATTAAAAACATAATAAAAATAAATCAGCTAAAAAAAGTAAGAATCGACTATGCTAAAAAGGAGAAGTGTTGTGACCTACTTGCGCTGCAATTGCGCCTTAGATAACAAAATTTTTTGCTGGCGATGGAGTCCTGAAGAAGAATCGACTAAAGAGACCCTGGAGCGGTTTTCGAGACTTGGAGGAATCCAATCGTAAGAATTGGAGCGATAAGCCATAAGCCAGAAGATATAGAAGTTCGTTCACGTCTTCATCATCACCCCCTCCCCTTTTTTTCTTTCCCAGCGGTGGCTCCGGGTGGTGGTGCACAGGTAGCAGCTCAAAGGATTCTGATATAGAAGTTCGTTCCTCCACCATCCAGGCTTTAAATCCATTTCGTCCTTTCTCAGTGAAATGGTTTTAATTTCCTTTCAATTTAAGCAAGATCCACCGAGAAAACCTACAAATCTGGATCCCATCCATCTTCTTCCTCGAACAAAGCTTTCACAACTTGCAGGTGGCGACGGTAGCGGAAAAGCTTTTAAGCGACGAGGTGATGGGACAAGGGTGGATTTGAAATAGATCTCACCTCATCTCTTCAATTTTTTTTAAATTTCATTGGCTATTGATTTTGGCCCAATCTCTTCGAAGACGAAGATGGCAAGAATGGGGTATGTGGGTTTGAGACGGAAACATCGCAGGGGTGGGAGGGTTTGAGAATGAAACTTAGCAAGGCTGAGGTGGGGTTGGGAGGACAAAAAAACAAAGGGAAAAATTTGGAAAGTCAAAGCAATTTTAACATTACATTAAAAAATGTGCCAAGTCAAACTGAAAAGTTTCAACTTGGACGGAGGGACTAATAGAAAGCTAAAATGCAATTATTGTAGCAAAGTGAAAACAGGAGGGGTGTTCTGTATGAAGCATCACTTAGCAGGGACCCAAAAGGATGTGGGTGCTTGCAAAAGTGTTACGGATAAGTTGAGACAAGAAATATGGGACATTGTAGTTACCTCTAAAGAGAAAAGGCAAAAGGAGGAAGAAGAGGATGATAATGATGATTGTGAAAATCTTGGCCATAAAAGAAAAATCAATGACGAGGTTGGTGGTCGATCTAACACTTTTTCAAAAAAGGGCAACCAATCAAAGCACCATTAATAGCATGTACAAGAAGAGTTTGAGAGAAGATGCATGTCTAACAATCTCGAGATATTACTTCAACAATGTCATATCATTCAACACGGCAAGAAGTGAAGAATTTCGTATCATGTGTGATTTGATTACAAAACATGGACCTAGATTCAAGCTGCCATCATATCATGAAATCAGTGTAAGGAATTTAAAACAAGAAGTGCGCTCGTTAGAAGTCATTGTCAATGAACATAGGAGTGAATGGAAGACAGGGTGCACCATAATGAGCGATGGTTGGTCGACACAAAAAAGAGAGCATTGATAAATTTATGGTTCATAGTCCAAAGGGGACTGTTTTCTTGAAATCACTTGATGCTTCTAAAATAGTGAAGTCATCTGACAAGATTTTTGAGATGTTGGATGAGGTCATTGAAGATGTGGGTGAAGAAAATGTTATTCAGATTGTGAAAGATAATGCCCCAAATTATAAAGCTGCAGGTGATCTATTAATGGAGAAGCAAAAAATGCTATATTGGACACCATGTGCGGCTCATTGCATTGATCTCATGCTAGAGGACTTCGAAAAGAAAATTCCAATCCATGGACAGACAATTCCTAATGGTCGCAAAATCACTAACATTTATTCTAGACCTTCTCTAATTCCTCTATTACACCACTTGACAGATGGGAAGCAATTGGTGAGACCAGGAATTTGCTACTACTTATCTAACTTTGGGGTGTCTTCGTGAAAACTGAAAACAAAAGTGGTTTGATTAGAATGTTTACATCAGAAGAGTGGAAGTCAAACAAATACTCAAAAACAAAGGACGGAAAAGATGTGGGAGACTGTATTCAATAAGGAGTTTTGGAAAAAAAGTGGTTTGATTAGAATGTTTACATCAGAAGAGTGGAAGTCAAACAAATACTCAAAAACAAAGGACGGAAAAGATGTGGGAGATTGTATTCAATAAGGAGTTTTGGAAAAGCTTAGTGATATGTTTAAAGGGTGCATTACCTCTCGTTGAGGTGCTTCGTTTGGTTGATTCTGATGAGAAACCTGCCATGAGATTTCTTTACAAGGCAATGGACCTAGCAAAAGAAAAGATACAAGCAACTTTCCAAAATGTCAAGAAAAGGTAGATTACATAAGTCCTTTTCTTTATATTAACGTTTATCATCATAAATTAATAATTCAGGACGTAAGTAATATACTCTTGTGTTCAGTTATAGGCCTTTGTGGATTGTCGTTGATGAGAGATACAAAGTTGAACGGTGAAAAGTGAGTTAAGTAGTCAACCCTAGTCTTAACGTAATAAAATAAAATAAAATAAAATAAAAAACTCTGGGTCCGCCATGCACGCCTTATAGCGCATCAGATCGCATCGAAAAATGCAATGATGCGCGGTTATGCGTGCGCCTCCTGTACTGCATCACACTGTCTCTGATGCGCAGAACCCTACGCCTCGTGCGCATCGCGCCTCGTGCGCGCTTGTCACAACTATGGCGGCAGGATATTATCTTAACCCTCGCATGCACTATAGCCCCCAATTTTAAAGCTGATTATGAAGTTAAACAAGGCCTATATAAATGTATAGGACGCATGGTGGCTGATTTCAAAGAACATGCAAGGATTGATGTTCAATTAGAGGACTTAAAGAATCGTGAAAAGTTATTTGGTACTCCGGCTAGAAAGACATTTGATAAGAAAAGTCCAGCAGATTGGTGGGAGTCATATGGAGATGAACATCCAGACCTTCAAAAATTTGCCATTCGAGTATTAAGCTTGGATGCCGTCAGGATGCGAGCGTAATTGGGGTGCATTTGAGATGGTAAGATTTCTATAATTCTATTATATTGTAAAATGAGGAAATAAAATTACTTGATAATTTTCATTAGGTCCACACAAAGAGAAGAAATCATTTGAAGCAGAAAACAATGAACGATGTTGTTTTTTCATGACTAATTCAAAATTGGCAAAAAAGAAGGCTAGGAGATCAAGTCAGCTCAGACTAGAAGATCTTTCGTCACATGATGAGTGGATTATGGAAGATGTTGGTGAAGACCCCGGAGGTGATGAAGTTGATGGAGATAACTCCACAGATGTTCCAACACAGAATGGAGAAGAAGAGGCTGATGCAAATGTCTCCAACACAGAATGGAGAAGAAGAGGCCGATGCAAATGTTCAACCTGAACATGAAGAGGAGTTGGATGTCACCAATTTGGATGAGGGAAATGAAAATGAAGATGAAAATCAAGAACTTATAGAGGATTATAATTTTAGCATTGATCCTACGTAGAATCTAGAGTTTAGCTACCATGGTTATAAAGGACCTATTATGGAATTTACTCAAAAACTAAAATGAGCAAAAAAGAACCAAATATAAACTGAAATCAGGAGAAAAGAAAACTGAAAAAAAAACTTAAATTAGCAAAAGGAAAAGAACAAATTGGAGGATGATAGAGAGAGAGATGTCGCATGAACAATCTAGACAAGACAATCAGCAGAAAAGAATTTAAGATAAAGAGATCTTTTACCCATGGAGGATGATGGAGAAGAATTGATTCCAGAAGAATCAATCCTGGAAGATGGGCTTTGGTGAGAGAGAGAGAAGTCGGGAAGGACTGTCGCAATGTGCTGAGTGAACGAGGGAGGCGATGCTTTTACGGAGTATTTTTAAAATTTAATAAAGTTTGGGTCTAGTTAGGTGACTTAGGTCGAATTGGGTTGGGCCAATTTGACCCAGACGACTAGTCAACCCTAGTCGCTAGGCGACAATCAAGTTGCCACCACCAAAACGACCGGACAACTAGTCGACTTAACAACAACGCAGAAGACATAAATTGATCAACCAAAAAAGATGAGGCCCAATAAGATTTCAGATAATAAAATCATCCAAGTTGAAACATCTCGTTTTGACTTGGTGCGGTTTTTAATTTTATGTGAAAAAAGAATTGTCTTTCCAATTTTCCCTCTTTCTCCTTCTCCTTTTCCCCTCTATCCTACCTCCCTTCTCCTTCTTCTTTCTAAGGCAACCCCCCCCCCCCCTTGCGACACACACCCCTCCCTGCCTCCCCTTCATCTTCTTTCTTCTTCTTCTTACTTTCCTTCTTTGATATTCTTCTTCCTTTCCTTTCCCTCTTCTTCCTTTAAGAAGAAGAAGAAGGGTAAATGAGAAGAAAGAAATGGGAAGAATCAAATGAGAAACTCCGAAAAGGAAAGATATGGGACAAAGGGAGTACTTCATATTCATCTTTGAACTACATAAAAACTTCTTAATAATTTGAAATGCTGCATAGAAGTCATACAGCCTATGAGCTCTCATTCTCCACTTGAACAGATCAATAACAATCCAAAAAGTAGAGTCCTACTAGTGGGGTCTTGGGGGTGGTGTATGCAGACCTTATCAATGTTGGCATGCCTATAAGGTAGATAAGCTATTTCCAAAAGACACACCCAGTTCAAAAAAAAAAAAAAAATACCCCCTCCGTCTGCCATAGATCTTCCCAAACACTATTCACAGGGCCAAACTTAACTCACTTTGTTTGCTTACTTTTACTACTCATTTCATAAAATAATTTAGTCTTGTCAACTCTGGTTTTGTAGAACTTTTCATGTAGTTTTTTACTATATAATTTTTTTAAAATTTTTATCCCTATAACCAAATAAATTGAATTGAAAATAAAGTTGGTCAAACCTCGTAACGCGTAATGGGAAGGTCTTAGGTGGACGGAGGGAGTAATAGACTAGCACTGAACCACAAAAAGGTCAAGGTCTCACAAATATCACAAAAACATAGCACAAAAACAGAAGACCTACAAACACACAAATAAGGCCACCTCATTACACCTAACTACCTTCCAACACACGTGTAGTCAAGAAAAAGATAGATGAAAACCCAACTACCCTAGAGCTTGAAGCCCTACCCTCCAGCTTTGGTGACTTACTCTTTAAGAGCAGTCTGAATAATCCATTTTCACTTCTCCACAACAATCAAGACTCCGCAAATGTTGGAACTCTTTGTGATAGAGTTCTACTAATGATGGAACTCTTTGTGATAGATTTATGGATCAAAAGAGGCCTTCAATGCCATTCTGGGATTGGTAATTGTCTTCAAACAAGACTCTACTAGAGTTGCTTTTGTGATGTATAAAAGTTGCGGCCCAGCTCCTCCCAAGGCAGAGACATAGAGAGAAAATTTATCTATCAACCGAGAGAGAAATTTCATATCTGAGAGATATAGTTCATCACGCCATGCTTATGTGAGATTGTTTATTACGTGATGATATATGAGATAAGGTCATAACAGCCATGGTGCTGTGAAGACGAAGATATTTGTCCAGACGGTGATTCTCGATACTCTGGAACAAAGTCAGTAACACGTCCTCGGAAGAGATCTTAGAGAATGTAACACCCTAATCCGTCCAGGTCTGTAGTCCCTTCCAAACTAAAGTATAAACTTCGTAATCGTCAGAATTTAAAACATTGCAAACACTTTTATTTAGCACAATAATACTTTTCATAACAGAAACAGTACGAAGTTTTCAATATTGCGGAAGCTTAACAAATCATAATCACAAAACATAATTAATTTATGTCCTTCAATTCAAAACGATCACATCCATCCCAACCATCTCTATAAACTTAACAAATCATAATAACAAAACTATGTTAATGCACTTTCCATGGCTATAAACTAATTATTAGGGAAAAAATACTCTCTTCCTTGTAAAAAATAATTTATAGTTTGACTTTCATAGAGTTTAAGATAAGTGTTGAAAAGTAAAAAGTGTATGGTTAGAGTTTGTTTGGATACGAGAGAATTAATGTGAACCTTATATTCATTACTAAAATAGGAAATAACGTAAGTATACATATTTTTAGGACGTCCAAAAAAGGAAAAAGTAAACAATTTTATGGGACGGATGGAGTAAATTTCAAGAATGTGTTGTTTATGGAAAACATAAAGTTGCACTTCACTTCTTAATTATATTGATTAAAGTTCTACAAAATGTGAAACTAAATACCTTAAAATCCTCGAAAGATAATGATGATGATAAAGTGACATTAGAGCTTCAGTGATGCTTCTGATATGAAGCAGATCAATTGATGCATTTTTAGTACTACCAGCTCTAACACAAGCTTCCCAATCCATTTGCCCTTTTATTTATTCACTGTTCTCCAAATGTCTTTTATTACGACCTTTCATTGTCATCCATTGCTAGTGGATAAAAGCGGTTTCTAGGAGATGAAATAGTCTCATTTTCCCTGATAAAACATACGGAGTACGGCTTGCTGTTATTATTGACAGAACAGTTATTATTGTTTTCTTCATCTGGTCTTCTGTAAACAAGTTTCCCCATTTCTCTCCTTCTGTAAGCACTTGATTGCTCTCTATATTTTCTTGCCATTATGACATGCCAATGGTTCTTCACTGCATTGTTTGCTCTCTGCTTCTTTATTACTGTATTTTGGTATTGAGCTTTGAATGCCCACTGCTCCTTGAGCTTTGCATCATCTCCTTTTGTATTGTTTCTCTCTTACCTTATCGTTTTGCTTATTTATGGGTAGACTTCATAGATTCATATTACTTTTTATTTAGGGACAACATGCATCCAGTTAAATAGGGTTGCCTAACACTCTTTTTTTGCATGCATGGCCATCCACAAGCAAATTCTTATAAAAATAAGACTATAGATAATTGGGATGATATTTGTGTTCTATTTGGATCGGATAGAGCATTATGGGATGGTGCAGAGCAATATGATGAAGCGGTGATGGCTATGGATGAGGAGATGATGAGTGAAGTCAAATGAATAAGAATATGCCAAATGAGTTTCAAATGCTCAAGGACTTGCTTGAAGACGAGAAGCTAGATTGGATTTTCTTGTGCTTGGAAGAGTGATCGAGTCATGAACAATTACAAAATATTGAATATATATACTTCATATACTAGTATGTATTCTGTTTATGAAACAATTGGTCATTATGTAATTTGAGATTATCTTAACAATATTTTGTTCATTAATCATTTGAAATGAAATTCTAGTACTTGCCAAACAACATCAAAATTTGAATTCTAGAATTGAAATTATGAATTTCCCAAACAGCATTTGGATTTGAAGTTATGAATTTTGAATTCCTTGTGTTTGCCAAACAACGGAATGGAATTTGAATTATGGGATTTCAAATTATAAAATTGAAATTCAATAATTGAAATGAATTCCCATATTCAAACACTACCTAATGGAATTCGTAGATTTGAAGCCTCACTGCCTCAAAAATCATAACAGGGGAAGCAAAAGTTCAAAGAAATACCTGAGGCCTGAGTGCGCTGCTGCGGTGCTGTCAGCTGGACTGTTGGGGCATAGGGTGGATTGCTGGACCTGCCGCTGCAGAGCCGGAGTCGGATAAGCGATCTAAGGCGGAAGGAGGAGATTCAGGATCTGCGTAACTGCGATCACCTGGGACTCAGCGACTTGCCTGAGGGGATCTTGAAAATAAAATTTGAATGTCATCATCATATAATAAGTGCGAGTCACAAATATATTAGGGAGTAGTATAATTTGAACAAAAAAATTATGACACAAAAAAATATAAGAGGTAAAAAAAATTGGAATAAATGTGGTCTACATTATTTAATAAGAATATGATTTTACAAAAATATAATACCAAGTAGTTTATTATTCAAAAATATAATCCAAAAAATACTTTTGTCAAAAAATTTAATTCCATTTTGGGAAAAATTCGTTGTTTCAATCATTCATTTCAAAAATTTCATGAAACAACATTTATAAAGTTGTGAAATGTTGTACTTCCTCCATCCACAAATAAACTTTACATTCACTATTCACATAGTCAAACTTTATTCACTTTGTTGGCCTATTTTCGTCACCCATTTGATAAAATAATATAGTCATGTCACCTTTAGTTTTGTAGATTTTTTGATATAGTTTTTTAATATGTAATTTTTATTTTTCAATTCTACACCATTTTTCATATAAAATGATTTGAAAATAACTTCAGTCAAACATCGTAACGCGTAATGTAAAGTTTAATTTTGGACGGAGGGAGTAATTTTTTAGGTTCTGACAAAAGCATACTATTATATTTTTAAAAATAAAAACAATTTTTTTTTACCTCAAATAATACAACATTTCATTTCATTGCACAACTTATGTCTTTAACTGCAATACGAAACTCGCAAAAATGCAAAAAGATAAGGTTTTTTCCTCACCTGTTTGTGCAATGGATTGAATACTGCATTTCCACTCCAACCTTTTCTATACAGTTGAAAGGAGGCAAATATGGGTACTTTAAAGGCAGGAAAGGACTTAGACAGTCTCCCTTGCTTTTTGTCATTATTATGGAATATCTAAGTAGACTACTGCAACAAATGGCTCAGTGCAAAGAATTTAGATTTCACGCTATGTGTAGATCAATTAAGTTGGTTAATCTAAGTTTTGGAGATGATCTGATTATTGTGTGCAAGGCTGAAGACAAGTCACTTAGATGTATAATGGATGTCCTAGACACTTTTCACAAAACTACTAGACTGAGAAGAAATTATGCTATGTCACATATTATTTTTGGTGGAGTAGACAAGAAGACACATGAGAGACACTACTGAGACTGACTAATCTATCCATTGGAGAGTTTCCTCTCATATACCTGGAGAGTCCTATTATAGTAGCTAAAATCAATAATAAAGAATGTGACATGGTAGTGAATAATATCACTTCTAAAATAACATCTCGAACTTCTAAGAAAATGTCTTATGCTGGAAGATACAAACTGATAGGCAGTGTACTGCATGGTATTATGACTTTTCGGTGTAAGCTCTTTATTCTCCAAACTAAAGTGATGAGTGTTGGAATTTTTGGCAATTTTAATAGGCATTAAATGGACAAACTTGGGTATATTTATCAATAGGTCCACTAACGGTTTTAACCGTTAATTAATGGACGTGTGTTCTCTTAAATGAGATAAATGTTTTGATAATTTATACGCCAAAAATGGTAGAGGGTGAATGAGAAATTGATTCTCGGAGTTAACCCGTTAATAAAAGAATATGGTAAGGATTGCAATTTTTTGCAATTTTACTGAGCCAATCTTCTATTATTAATTTTACGTATTGTTTAAAATTAGTCCTTTTTACGGAGTTAACTGGCCATTAATCTCCAATTATTCGGGACAAATTTTAAACGGAGCGTAGCGTAACGGACGTGTTAATGGCTAATTAATCACCATTAACACGTCATTATTGTGCCACAAATGCCATGGATTAATGGTGTAGGAGTTACACTTTTTAAAATTCCTTAGTTATAAATATCAAGGGCTCTCCATTGTTTAGTGTGGTGTGTTTTGTGTGTGCCATACGTGAGAAAGAAAGGGAAAACTTTCTTGTCAAATATTTAGAGAGAGCTCTTGATTTTCCGGCCAAATTCTCCGGCCATCTCCCTTAAAGTTTTTTTTTGTCGTCAACGTTCCTACGTTGTTCTTGTTCGTTGGTGTGTGGTTGGTCCGTACAATCTCCACACACGATAGCGGTTTTATCCTGGGAGGAGAGTGCCCACGTTTTTCCGGTACGGTAGGTGGGCACTACTACCTTAAGGACAGCTCCGGCGACTCCGCTGTCCTTCACGGTGTTTTGTTTTGCAGGTTTAGTTCATAAAGACCTCGCTGCATTCTGCCCTAGTGCATAATGTCCTCGCAGCCCAGTGCATAATGTCCTCGATGTCCAGTGCTTAATGTCCTCATACAACAAGGTTGTTTGAAGATATATAAATTATTTTCAATTCTGTTTATCTTGTAATATTCTGAATAAGTTATAAATTCAGAATTTTATTTATTTTTATTTTCCGAAGCTGTTCATCTTCCCCGTCCGTTGTAATCCGTACAAAAATTGTAACAATGAGAAAGGTTCAAAGCATCTGTAGGAACTTTCTATGGGGAGCCACAGCCAGCCTAAATGACCATTGGTCAATTGGGAAGAGGCTGGGAAGAGCCAACTTATGGAGGTTTGGGCATAAGGAAGATGACTCTTTAGAATAGAGCTTACATTCACAACTATTGGTGGGATGTTGCCCTTGAAAAAGATAACTTATGGGTGAAATGAATCGATAGTAGATATATTAAAGGGGATGTGGTTAACTACAAATTGAAGGGAGACAACTATTTTTATTGGAAGAAGATTGTGAAGAACAAAATATAGTTTGAGCAGACGCCTAGGGCTGGAGAGTACACTACTGAAGATGATTATGCTTGGCTCATAAGACTAAACAGAAAACCTGAGTGTTACTCACTGGTATGGAATAAATTGTCTATCCCCAAACACCAAATGCTATTATGGCTTATTTGCAAAGGGAGAGTTAGCACTAAAGCTAGAATTGGTAAGTCATGACCATAGACAAAACCTGTGACATGTGTTGTAAGGAAGAGGAGGACATGGATTATCTATTTAATCAATGTTAGGCAACAATAAATTTACTAAAAAAGTTATCCTGTGTGGATTGAATGTGATTTTGAGGCTAAGAGTGTGAAGGATATAATGGAAAAATTAATGAAGATTAGGGGAAAAGAAGACTCTCTTGTGTGGCTTTGTATGTAGCAACATGATACATCATTTGGAAGGCAATGAACAAGCTATTACATAACAAGGAGAGTACAAAAGAAGATTAGATGTTTTAATTGGGTAGTGTTTCATACAACTACCTTTTGAGGCAAAAGAAAAAGAAAGTAAAGTAGAATTTTTATTTTTATAGAGATGTATTCTATTCTGCTTTGGTGGCTCTAATGAATGTTTGGTGATCAATGAAATTGTGCCTTTCATTAAAAAAAACATTGAAAAATAAGATTATATTTAGAAGATCGCATAAAGGTGAGATTATTAAGATAATTTTCTCTTTTTTTTAAAAAAAAAACTAGTATCATACCCGTGCATTGCACATGTCATTTTTACGTTATTAAATTAAGATCATTTTTAATACTAAAAAATGATACCTAATAGAATATAGAGATTATATTATTTTACGGTACAAAACATCGCTGCTTTACAAATTTTGAAAGACTTCTTTGTATACTACATTATTCGTACAATTTATGGGAACATTGTCTTTGTTGCATATCAAAATCTTCAATCCACTATGATTAGTATAACATCCAATGATTCCGGCCCTTGAGAATGATTCCGAACTTAATTCTGATTCGTGAAAAATAACATCTAATGATTCTTGCCCCCGAGAATGGGCAGGAACGTGATAAACTTTTATCGCTCTTAGTTTCATCATAAATAGCGCTGACTTCTCATCAACATTTTTTAAAGCGGTTAAGATCCTTGTGCTCGTAGAAAAGGCGATGTTGAAGCACTGAGTAAAAACACACGTTGATTTATCTTACAACGAAGGGTCTGGAAAGGAACGTATTTATAGTATATAATTATAAAAGGCTAATTATAGTAGTAAGGGTTTCTTTTTTAAACGAATTCTTTTTTATTTTGGAAACGGAAAGTTTTTTGTTTTCAATAAATTTTTGAAAAGCTAAGAATATTTAAACGGTAAGAATATGTAATTCTTACCTTTTTGCCTTTATTTTTGAAACAGATTTTTGTTTTTCTTACAAAACAAATTTCCACTATATTTTTATTTTTGAACATTTACGGTATTAGTAGCCTTTATTGGCGTGTGTTTATAGGCTTTTATTAATACCATGTAAACATCAGAATTACCATATGTAATGGCATAACATCTCTTGAAACGGAAATTAAAAATTTTTAAATGAAAATTTTAATTTTTTTATTTTTGAAACAGAATTTTTTATTTCCATACAAATTTCCATTCTATTTTTATTTTTCAACATTCACGGGATTAATACCCTTTTATTGGAGTGAAAAAAATTGGGTTGAACATTTACGTAATAAAATAGAATTGGAACGGAAATTAATAGCCTTTTATTACTTACCATGTAAACATCACAATTACCATATGTAATGGCATAACATCTTTTGAAACGGAAATTTAAAAATTTTAAATGGAAATAGTTTTTTTTTATATTTTTTGAAACATAATTTTTTTCTTTCCAAATTTATGGTATTAATAGCCTTGATTGGCGTGTATTAATAGCCTTTTATTACTTACCATTTAAACATCACAATTACCATATGTAATGGCATAACATCTCTTGAAACGGAAATTGAAAATTTTAAAACGAAATTTTTAATATTTTTTTTTGAAACAGAATTTTTTTCTTTCCAAACAAATTTCCATTTTATTTATATTTTTCAACATCTACGGTATTAATACCCTTTTATTGGCATGAAAAAAATAGGATTGAACATTTACGTAATAAAATATTATTGAAACGGAAATTAATAGTCTTTATTACTTACCATGTAAACTAAACAATTACCATATGTAATGGCATAACATCTCTTGAAACGGAAATTTAAAAATTTAAACGGAATTTTTTTAGTTTTCGAAATAGAATTTTTTGCTTTCCAAATTTACAGTATTAATAGCCTTGATTGGCATGTGTTAATAGCCTTTTATTACTTACCATGTAAACATCACAATAGAATTCTTTTCTTTCCAATTTTATGGTATTAATAGCCTTGATTGGCGTGTATTAATAACCTTTTATTACTTACCATGTAAACATCACAATTACCCTATGTAATGGCATAACATCTCTTGAAACGGAAATTGAAAATTTTTAAACGCAAAATTTTAATTTTTTTTGAAACAGAATTTTTTTCTTTCCAAACAAATTTCCATTTTATTTATATTTTTCAACATTTATGGTATTAATACCCTTTATTGGCGTGAAAAAAATGGGTTGAACATTTACGTAATAAAATATTATTGGAACGGAAATTAATGGCCTTTTATTACTTGCCATGTAAACTAAACAATTCCCATATGTAATGGCATAACATCTCTTCAAACAGAAATTTAAAAATTTTAAACGGATTTTTTTTATTTTTGAAACAGAATTTTTTTCTTTCCAAATTTATGGTATTGATAGTCTTGATTGGCGTGTATTAATAGCCTTTATTACGTACCATGTAAATATCACAATTATCATATGTAATGTCATAACATCTCTTGAAATAGATATTGAAAATTTTTAAACGAAAACTTTAATATATTTTTTTGAAACCGAATTTTTTTTCTTTCCAAACAAATTTCCATTTTATTTATATTTTTCAACATTTACGGTATTAATACCCTTTTATTGGTGTGAAAAAAAATTGGGTTGAATAAAATTTATTTGTTATAAAATCGAAAATCTGTTATAAAACCAAAAATTTTATCTGTTATAAACCCGAAAATTTGTCGAATCAATTCCCGATAGATTTATTTGTTATAAAACCAAAAATTTTAATACTTTTTAAACAATATTTTTTTTCTTTCCAAACAAATTTCCACTCTATTTATTATTTTCAACATTTATGGTATTAATACGATTTTATTAATGAAATAAAATATTATTGGAACAGAAATTAGTAGGCTTTTATTACTTACCATGTAAACTAAACATTACCATATGTAATGGCCTAAAATATGATATGGGCGGGAAAACCATTGCCCACTTCCCCTCTTTTTAAATAAAGTATGAATTTGTTATAAAATCGAAAATCTGTTATAAAACCAAAAATTTTATCTGTTATAAAACCGAAAATTTGTCGAATCAATTCCCGATATATTTATCTGTTATAAAACCGAAAATTTTAATACTTTTTAAACAATATTTTTTTCTTTCCAAACAAATTTCCATTCTATTTATTTTTCTCAACATTTATGGTATTAATACGATTTTATTAATGAAATAAAATATTATTCGAATGGAAATTACTAGGCTTTTATTACTTACCATGTAAACTAAACATTACCATATGTAATGGTCTAAAATATGATATGGGCGGGAAAACCATTGCCCACTTCCCCTCTTTTTAAATAAAGTATGAATATGAATAATTTGTTCCATTGTACTCTTTTGTGGATGTGGACCTACTAGGCCAACTTTCTAAACCCAAAAAAAATTGTTAACTAGATGAAGAGGAAAGCAGCTCAAGATAGGGCAAAGTCTTCCAAGGCGCATGATAAGGTGTAACTGTTCCTATTCGCAAGGGGGGGAGTTGAGGAGAAGGGGGAGAGTTACTTAACACAAATTAGATGGGTTGGTTAAAAGAACGCAACACTAGCTCCAATAGTTTCATATTTTCCAGCCCAACCACATCAGAAACGAATGGTTTATTTATTTCTGTCGTGACAACAATTCACATGCCAAAAGAGGGATCACTCTACCAAATATAAACACCAACACGAAATTTTGTCCTAGATCGTGCACGGTTTAAAAAATAAATTAATAAATCAAAGATTGTACCACCAGCACAACTACAATTCTCAAATTAAATCAATGATGATGACATGAGCGCACCAAGAACAACGGCCAGCGTCACAAGTCTATGCAAGTGGCATGCAGAGTTCCAAATCTAGTCAGCTTTGAGGTCTTCTCCAGTGCTGTGTGAAAGTTTCTTTTGTTCTTGGCTGAGTTTGGAGCCTTCTCGTAACTGGAAAAGAACAGCGATAAAATGAAACAAACGAATGCAGATATTGAACACAGAATGCTATCGTTAACAAAGGAAAATGTTTGATTTTCAGCATTTTGGCCACCAAAATACTGGCGAAAGCAGTGTTTTAACCCTCAGAAATTGGAGCCAAAACACTAGTCAAGTTGCCAACAGTCATATTAACTGAACCATTTTCAGTTAAAAATTTCATTGTCAAGATAACAACAAAAAGAAGCCACAGAGTTACTTGCCTGCTGAAGGACATTCTTATGATAGCGGTAGCCCTGGAAGAGAAAGCCAAAAAAAGGGGGTGAGAAACCGTATATATTACAGTCGATAAGGAATGGTTGGTGTATACTTGCCTTGTCAGTTCCGTAGATGTAATCACAATAAGTGAACACTGAAGCAAAATTGCTTTGACTGAGACCACCAACATAATGATGATAGTCATGGTAATCTGGGCCACCATAAAAAGGAATGTATTTTGTGGGAGTCCAAGGAAAGTCATACCTGAATCAGCATTCTTCATAACAAATGAGTGAAAAACAGACAAAACTACCATGTTGGAACCAATACAATGTAATTGATGCAAAATTGCAAACACAGAAGGATTTCGACAAAATACAGAGCAGATGTGATTTTTTATGTCAATGATGTATCATCAGGTCGCAGTACATTGTAGAGTATCTTCTACACTACAAGAGTCGTCGAATAGTTACCTTCTCAACTATGTCCTCAAATTTATGCCTTTTCAACTATGATAATACAATACTATCGTTTGCCATGCATAACTCCAAATTGGTTCTTCAATGTTTGAAGGAACTTTCGGAATTTCTGTTCTACTGTCCTCATTTATAAGCTTATGGTATGAGTCATAAATCTTAGCCTCGTATAGTTCCCACTTCCCAGACATGCACAACGCCTCTTATAAACTTAACCATCATAACAAAACTTGTTATGATTTATTCCAATTTAGTTGTCAGCTACTCCTAGTTTACTAATTACAATTTAGTTAGTTGTCAGCTACTCCTAGTTTACTAATTATTATAAACCCCTTCTGTCAAAGGGGATTTAATCACATTAATAGGAAAGAAGAAATATGAAGAAATCAATAAGGAAAACTTCCCCAAATTACATAAGAGACGAAAAAACTCCAAAAGAATTCCATATCTCCTTTAGTTTATTTTACTAGTATTAATTTATTTGTGTGACACACCCCGTACATAATAGTTTAGCTTTGTTGCCCGCATCATAAGAAAATTTGTACTTAACAATGTTCAATACTTCATCATTAAAGAGATGGAATGAAATTGATTATCCACAGGGTGAAAGAGCAACTGCAATAGATGCATTTACACATAATGCAGCCAAAATGGAAACCATGTCCACCACCGCTGCAAAAAGTCCACTGCCACCACAAGCAAATCTCAACATAAATATCACAACCAATACTATTTCCCCTATGTTTGCCCCTCCACGACACCGCAATCCTTTGTGGCAAGGACATGCACGTGCAATGGCGTAGCCAGGAAGAACTGAGTGGGGGGAGGACCCAAGAATACTACGGGCATCCGGGGGCAATGGCCCCGAATTTCTTTTCCAAGGTGAATATAAAATAAGACAAAAGTAGTAATAAATTTTATCTCAAACACGCATACCATAAAAATAAAGAACTCATGCCCTATACCAGAATTTTATTTAGACATATTGAACTTCTTCACCAACGTTTTCTATTCACTTAGCTTCTGCATGCTTGGCCAAGTTTTATAACAACAAGATGTCAAGAAAAATCTGTTTACAGTTGTTCACTTCTTTCAGTGTTGCTTATGAGTCTCGCCGTTAGGGGGTTGTGATGTTCATTAGGTCACCATTTTCTTGATAGTTCATTTTAATTTATATAGAGTAATATATAGAGATCGTTTTTTCCTATACAAGTTGCAATGTTTTTTTTTTTGCAGAATTTTATTGTTGGTGTGGTGTGGTTCAAACATGGCAGATGATTAGAAAAGCAATTGAAATTCTGAATGAGGAAAGAAGTTCTAGTGAGGAGGCAATATCAGTATGCATAGTGAACAACAATCACGAGTTGACATGGGCCCACTCAACTCTACTCAAACACCACTTGAGATAACTATGCGAGAAGGGTGATATTGTTCTGACTCGAGATGGGCTCTATTTGATAAAAGACCAAAATACCAATCAACTTGTTCTAACTCTTTTGAGGTCTACCTCTACCCCTTCTCACGCCCACTACTGTAAGCTTCTTGCATCTCCTTACCAAAAAAAGAAAATGTCTTTTATTTTGGGACGGGCCAAAAAAAAGTGTTTTGTTTATTTTGGGATGGAGGGAGTATATGGTTTTGGAGATTTTTACGAAGTCAATGATAAGGTGCCAAAGTTGATGGAAGTAGAACAACAAATCCGATATGATCCCAACTTAATCTAAGGGGTGAATATGTACGCAACTTTACCCTGTTAATTCACAACGAGGCAGCTTCCATTCGTCCCTTGATGCATTGCTACATTTACTATCCAAAACTTCATACAAAGTAAGAACATATGAAAGTTTAATGTGTCATTTTGACTTGGACCATTGTCAAAATGATTCTTTTAGTGAATTGAAGTAAAAAGGGTTAAATAGTAAATGGAGTGCATCATTGATACAATTAAAGTGTTGCAAACTTTGATGGTAAAGAAGTATCGTAAGCCCTTGTTTGAAATACTTAGATCTAATACACACAAAAATGGAGATACAGACAAGGATATGAAAATACATCAAGGTAAACCGAAGATGACTTGCAATGAATCTGTAAAAATCAAAGCATTGGGGGTGGGGGGTGGGGGGCATTGAATTTCCAACTGTTGCTACATCTTGGCCTTTTAGCCTCATTCTTGACCTACTTTTGAATTTCCAAAGATTGAGTATTTGAGTTACTGCAAGTGTAGCACTAGAAGTTCATTCGCCAATAATGGTGCAAGATCATGGACTGAACACGTAATCTAAATTGGAGGCCTAATATATATTATGTTATAGGGCTATATAATTGATTGTATGGGATGGTTTTCAGATTGCATGGTTGCTGTGAGCTAATATAATTGATCATATTTTCCATATATTGGATTATATGCTGCATCCTGAAAGTTACAAGGCTACTACCTATAGATATTACTGATTATGTCTGTCATACATACAATTGATAATATCTGACCCCTAGGCCACAATGTTAATGGTTTGGCTACCCATTTGATGCTGAGACAAGTTAAATGCATTGTGATTCGGATCATATTGCCACCACGCAGGTCTGAAACGGAGACTACAATATTCTTTGAAGATCACCCATGTGGCCATGTCATTTGGGCTCCCCACTAATATAATGGTAATAAAAAAGTTGTGTTTCTCTGATCATATTCAAGGTTACTAATTCTTGGTTCTAAGTGTGAGTATGCTAGCATTGCAATATACTGTAGAATCCCCAACAATATTGCCAAATTAATGATCTTGACAGTTTGAGAATGAGAGAAAATCTCGCTTGTGATTGGTATTGTGAAAATCCCATTCAGGCTGCTTTTGAAATTAGAATTCACAACAATATATCCAATGGAAAGAAGGCGTATAAAATGTTGTTTGCTTGGGATTTTCAATAGATCCTGCACTCCCTAGGTTTGCGTTTGCTTGAGACCTCACGACTCTCTTAGCTTTAATGCTGAAACTAATCCTCCCATTAAATTGCAAGGATACCTCATTATATCAAGGAGTATAGAAGAAGAGCGTCAAGTCCCAATTAGATATAACAGCTACATTATAGACTAATACAATACCTAATTACTAATTATTGAATGACTACCAGTAAAACTTTATCGAAATTATCCAATTAACTAATAAAAGTTCTATTATAATCTAACTATTTAGTAATAAGAATAATTACGATCAAGATCAATCATGTAGGTTTCCTTTGAACACGTTCAACATGTATCATACTGATACCACTATCTATAACACATAAATACTATCTATGTATTATGTTATTTATTGTTGGGGTGGAAATTACAACAAAATGCTCTTTTTGTTGATGTAGGAGTCACAACTCATATATTCTTTAAAGTTGAGGTAGGTAATTACCAATGATCACCTATGTGCAATATTTTAGAAACTCTAGAAGTAAAGGTTTTTCATATATGAAACTCCCTACCATTATATCTCTCGCATATGGGTTGTCAAAATGGAAATTACATATCCAAAAAACCAGTAAAATTACACAAGTGGGTGTACACCGCCCATACCCCGTCTAAGATTGAGAGGTTGTTCATGAAAGGGCCAATTATATATCCAACGTGTGAATAAATTAGGTTCCAAAGTGCGTGTAAGAAGTTGATAGGATATTAGGATGATAAATAAACGATTGAAAGGCTAGCTTCCAAAGTTTTGCGGATTAGCTCATCTACTAAGGGCGAGCTGAGTTGATTTTTTCTTTCTGAATTCCAGAAAAATTATTTGAAAATGCTGAATAAAAAATAAGCATGGATGGGGGCAGTGAAGGGCACAAACAGTGCGAGATTCATAATGAGACGAGAAGAAACATTATCTGTGAAATGAGAACATATTTTAAAATTTTGTTTAAGTAGAAAGAAGTTTCTGAAATATTTTAATATGTTTTCTGAATGCAGAACCAATGCTTTTCAAGAGTTAGTGTGAAACATAGATGCTTCAAATATGGCCAGATGCATGCATTACAAAAAATTTAATTATCTTACCATCATGATCAAGTAGTAACTTCCAAGACAATTTCAGGGTTAATGTTTTAGTTTAATGCATTTTCATTGTGAGTGCAATCGAACGAATCGATGCAAAAATAGCTAGACGCTCAATCCTTTACAATACCCAATTTTAATATTACAAAAAGACTGTCTATTAATGACTAGATAAAACTAGAAATAGAAAGACATGATTACTAAGCTTATAGCTCAACCACAAAAGAAAACACAGAGGGAGACTTTTGAGTGATACTACTAGCTAGCAATACCTCTAACTCTACAATGCCAATTGTAAAATGAAAGAAAAAGAGAGAAGAGATATGTGCATACCCACTGTGCGTCTCAATTGCCTCTATCTGTCTCAGCACAATCCACAACCAAAAGGTAATCATGTGACCTGGGACCATGGCGGGCCCGAGAAAAGACGGGATCCCAAGGATCAAAATCTCCGCCCAGTGCGCATATGGCGCTGCATATCCTATTGGAGCTGTGTACTCGTGGTGAACCTTGTGAATCTTATCGTACCCCCATTTGCAATGCAAAAGCCTATGAATCCAGTAATTGGTATAGTCCTCCACTAAGAAATACACAGCCAATTGGGTCACAATTTCCCATATCGATGGCAAGGGCAAGCTCGTCCGGATCCCGACCATCTTCATAACCCCAAATAAGCCAAAAACAGATATAAACATAAACACAATTAAGCAAGGCATTCCACAGAACGAGCAAATTTTCAAACCTAAATGCGTAAATTGAAGAGAGAAAAAAATATCAAACGAGACACTACTTTGATGGAGGGGTAAGACAGCAATTGGAGAGGGCCGACGACCAGGACGAACATGCGCATGACGGATTTGTAGCAGCGGAAGGCGTCCGAGATGGTGAGATTGGCTTTCGGCTGGATCTTGTAGCAACGGATAGAATTCTTCAGGAAAAACTCGAGGAAGAGGTAGTAGAGCGGGACCAAAGAGAAGATGAGGAAGAGGAAGAGGATATTGTGGCAGTAGAGAAGGTAATCAGATTTGGTAGCAGTGTAATTGAACCAGATTGTCTCCGCCGCCGTGAGTGGCCGCTTCAGGGCGTCCTGTGCCGCTTGGATGGTGGCGTATGTCAGCATGTCTCCGACCCCGACTCCCGGAGAGAGAGAGAGAGAGAGAGAAGGCTGTGTAGAGTAGACTCTGACAACAAATAATACAGAGTAAAAGAATGACGAAAAGGGGCGTACGGTGGCAACTAGCCAAGTACGCCAACAAACCTGAGAAATTTCACAAATTTTTACACTTGGGAGTACAGAACCTACTCTTTTTTTAAGTTTATGGGTATGTCACGTATGGGTGGTTACTTGAAAGATATTGTTCTTATAAATTTTAAATTCTGACCTTTAGAATTTTCCTTTTTGTTGAGGCAAAAATATTTTTTAGAAAATCTAAATCTAATTTCCTATGTTTGTTTACAAAAGTGGTAGAAAATTATTTTTTAAAAATTTTTTTTTTTATTTTTTATGGATGAATGTTCATTTTCTTTGTAAGTGCTCGAATCCTCTAATTCTACGGAACAAAGCAAAGAACTACTCCCACCTCACCCCCTCCCCCAAACCATATAGAAAGAAACTCTATAATAGAGATTTGATAATGATCTTGTGTGAAAATAATACAATAATGTCATATCTAATTTTGTAAAATTTTTTATCTCGTGTTTGAAGGTGTATTTTTTATTATTTAGTTTTACATGAATTATCATATAAAATGAATTCAAACTAATTTAATTCAAACATCGTAACAGAAGAAAATTTGTGGATGAAGAGAGTATTTGTTTAAAAAATATCATACACTAATAAACATTTCAATAAAATTAATTAAAGTTTGGCACTTTAAATTCTTAAAAATATTTTTTAAAACAAGTTTTCGATAATTTAAGAAAATAACAGAATTTATAGATATTTCGATATAGTATGATTGAATATATAATGGATATCACTTTATTATTTTAATAAAAAATATGTAAACACCAGAATTTAAGAGTAGTTTTTAATATTAATTAAAATTTGGATAAAAATACTGTACATGATACATTTTAATTCATAAGTCTTTTTTAAAAAAGTAATTATCATTTTAGAAAAACAAATAAAAGGAAAGGAAGAAAATAATTGAAAATAGAAGAATTAAAAAAAGGAAATAAGTATTAAATTCTTTTGGAATCCAAATTTGTTTTTAATGTTTTGGGCATGCAATTTTTTTTCTTCTCTCCTAGCATGCCACATATTACTTGTCAAAAAGTGACAACACAACTCCACCACATGTTACGCCTCAAGTCCGCCAAATATCGTGATCTTGTAGTTCGGAGTCTTCTTTTTATATATTAAGGATTAAGGATATAGTGTTTTAACATGTGCGCTGCATTTCGGTTAAACGATTTTTTTCTGTAGTTTATCTTACATTTTTCTATGGATTTGTTATTTTGGACTTTAACTCTTAAAACCTATTTTGTTGGGAGAAAAATATTTTTCCAAAAAATCCAAGTCTCATTTTCTATGTTTGGATACATAAGTGGTATGAAGGGCATGTTTTCTATTAGCGTTAACGTTTTGGATAAAATTTTAACGGTGGAGACCGACTTTGAAAGCGCTAATGCTAAACGTTGATAATATTTTCTAAACACTAGCACTAATTTCTGGCGTTATTTCCAAACAGGCTCGAAATCATTTATTAGGAAAACTATTATCTCCCTTAAACGAACAAATAAATTTGGTTTGCTTTGGACGGAACTTCATTTTCTTACTCACTCCTTTTTCTATTTTCCTTTTATTTTATATCTTTTTTCTATTTTTTATTTTATTTGACAAAAAATAAAATTGCTTAACTTGAGATATATAACTTATTTGATTTATATATTAATTTTTTCTTTCAGTTTTTGAAACATTATAAAGAATATGTTATAAAGAGAAATTAAAAAGGAATAAAACTTATGATAATGGTCTCTTGTACCACTGTGGTTTGAAAAATGGTCATCAATGCCCCTTTTTCTCCGGAAAAAATGAATGAAAAATAGTTAGATGGGATATTTGTGCAACCTTTTGAAATGATTAGGGGTTTTATGAATAGGTTTTGAAACTAAACGGGGCAATTCAGCACTCTTACCTATTTTCCAAACCACAAGAAACATTGAAACTGTTTTTATATTTTCTATTCAAAATTCTTTTGTCATTTGGTATTTTACACTAAACAAATTATCTTAAATAGGAGTAAAACATAGAGAAACTACTAAAAATAAAAGTTTCATGTTTTATCCCAAAATAAGGGTTTGCATTGTGTTAATGTGACATTGTATATGCATTTTAAATATATTTTTACTTCTATTTTGAAAATAAAAATATGGAACTCTAATTTTGATAGATTTTATATGCTTTACTCTTTAGTCTTTTTCCTTTTAAATTATAAATATATGATTATCAAGAAATAGAGTAAGTGCATATACACTTTAGTTACAAGCGAGTTTTTATATTTAGTCCCTAATACTAAGGATTTACATAAATCATCCTCAATTTTTGAAAACTATTCAATTATATGTTCTTGATATGTTGTCATATTTGTCCTAAGGACCACATTTTAAATGTTTGTCTTGGAACCATGTAGTATGTAAGCATCACTCTTGTCCCAAATGACTATTATTTATGGATTTATTTTTAAAAACTGAGATCCATTTACATAATATCTTATAAAAACCACATATAATTAGAGACCAATTATAGAAATTACTTTCAAGATTATATTTTTATTTCTCTTTTTGTACTATAATATTATTTGTCAATCAAAATAATTATTATAATCATATATAAATTGGTGTGTTAGTCAAGAATTTCATTTTTTAATCTCACTATCCTTTTTTTGTCTTTCATAGATCTTCTCATTATCTTTTTTAACATTTAAAATATCACAAATATCCCCACTTACTTTATTTATTACACATCTACCATCTCATTTAATATACTCCACACATATTGTAACACCTTAATCCGTCCAAGTTTTAAGCCCTTTCGGACTAAAGTATAAACTTGGTATTCGTAAACATTCAAAATATTTCAAACAATTTAAAACTTTATTTCATAATAAATTATTCAGACTAATAACTGAGGACTTAGAGTTACGGAAGCTTAATAAATAACAATTACAAACATAATAAATTTATGTCTCTTTTAAACATTAATTCATTTCACACATCCACCTCGACCATCTCGCCCCGTCTACTGCTAGGAATTTATCACTTCATTCTTTTTGTTTACCTGCATGTAGCAAATAAAACATATTACACGCACAATATTGAAGCTGAGTAAGCATATCTAATGCGTCGAACATATATATATATATATATATATATATATATATATATATATATATATATATATATATATATATAATCTCAATTCATAATCAAATTATTTGATATCATGCACATAATGTTCAGTTCAGATAACCAATACTCAATATTCATCATTCAATATTCAACGTTCATCATTCATATTCAACAGTCATAGAGTAAACAATGCTCATAAACTATTCTTAATCAAAGGCCAATTTCATTAATGATTACCAACTCTTAAACGAATTCTAGTTTAAGGTTCTTAAACTATATTCTAGCTTAAGGTACTCCTAACCAACCTTTTAGCTAGGCCTAGTTTAAGATACAAATTTTCAACAAGGTTTTCAAATTCTTAAACTTACCTTCGTTTAAGGTCAACTTAAACCGAACAACGGAATGCTCACTGTCAGGTTAGGTGGTATCCCCAAACGAGTGATCCTCAAGTTCGGTTGATGGATCCCCTACGTATGTTTTTACTCAGGCCACCGAATATTTATAGTTATACCCACAAGGTCGATTTCTAATCTATCTTAGAGCTATTCTAGATAGTATTAGAAACCAATGTCAACATGGATATATCTTAGAGTTCTTCTAGACATCGTTACAATACAACTCATTTCATAATCATCAATGTATTCCTTTTAAATCACGGTTCAATCATTCACAATAATCATTTTAATCAGTAGGTTCATCAAACCATAATCATCCATAATAATCATTTATCATAATCATCAATCAACCTAACATCCAATAGCAAATAGCGGCCTAGCTTCGAGTGTGAACACTCTAGGTTATCGTCATGCATCACATAAGATTTCATTTATCAAAAAAAATATTTTTTATTTTGAAAAATAATGTTTACATTAATCATAATTTATTGGTATCAAAAATAGGATTTTAGAGCCCAAAACTATCATTTTCAAAATTATTTTCAGATAAGAAATTCGGGGGTCAATCCAGTACTCTGGATCGATCCATGCTAGAGAAAAATATCACCAGGTGATCGATCCAATAGGGTGGATCGATCCACTCTGTTGCTTTTCGATCACTGTTCATATTCTTCTTCGTTCGGCTAGTTTTTCTCCAGCTCCATTTTTGGTCCCTAAACTTTAATTAAATTATATAGAAATGTTCTTCAAGGTTCATTTTGGTATCATTAATTCATAGTTTAAACAATAATTTCATGGTACTTCAAACATGTCAAACACAAAAATCAACCAAACGACCGTTTATGAACGTAGAAACGATCTATACAATCATTCTAGTGGCGGGGGCTGCGGTGTTTTCGATTCCAAATGCAAGTCCCTGATTGGGACTAATTTCACTCCCAGGTGGGATATACTTTTTGATTCAACTTTCTCTGAATTGAATTCTGATTGAACCGTCGCAGTCAGATAGTCAACTCTACATAACGATATAATTTTCGTTATTTATTGACAAACTTTATAAATTACTTATTTTTTGGTCTCTCTCAAAAATTAATTAATTATTAATTAATTAATTTCGATAGACCTATTTTCGGGGCGTTACACATTTTCATTAATGGTATTTTGGTAAACTTTAATCTTTTATCAAGTCTCCTTAAAAATCGCAAAAAATCAAAAAGAGAAGATTTTAGGAGGACGTGTAACACCCTAATCCGTCCAGGTCTGCAGCCCCTTTCAGACTAAAGTATTAACTTGGTAATCGTAAAAATTTAAAACATTTCAAACACTTTTATTTATCATAATAATATTTTTCATAATATAAACAGTATGGAGTTTTCAATATTGCGGAAGCTTTACCAAATCATAATTACAACATAAT